CCCCAAAACCCCAAAACCCCAAAACCCCAATAAAGATACCTTATTGAATTTAGATACTTTTCAAACAAAAATGTTGCAGATCACAGCTGAAGAGATAAATTTTATCATCTACCAGTACCTGCAAGAGTCAGGATTTTCTCACTCAGCCTACACATTTGGAAAGGAATGCAATATAATTGAGAACAAGTTTAAGCATTATCATATTCCAGCAGCAATGCTAGTGGTATTCCTGGAGAAAGCCCTGACCCTTATACACATCGAGACTCATTACAACGAAGGTGATGATATGGTTGCCTGAAACGAACCATTCACATTACTTAACCCTCATCATTGATCCACTGTAATCAGGGAACCAAAAGCTGTAATGAATGGTTCTGTCGGAAGCAAAGGAAGTCTAGGTCAGAACCCTATTGAAGGAATCCTTAATAACTCAGAAGGCAACACAAAGGTAAGTAAATATAGCATAATCTTTTTATAGAAAAGTAATGACCAAGATCAGGAGATGGAAGATGACTCAAAGAAACAAGAACTGAAGCCTCCCGACTCAAAAATGGCTTTGAATAACCAAGATAGCGTATATGGAGCGACTCACTTACAAAAATCCTCTTTCTTACAAAACTACGAATCTAGAGTAAGGATTTTGGTGACAAAGAGCACAAAGACACTGAAAGTAGCCTGGAACCCAAAAAGACACATGCTTGCCTTTGGTGGAGACAATGAGTTTTCCTCCCTGTGGAATATAGGAGATAATGTCTCAGAAGCTGAAGAAATCTCGACTCTCCCACATGTAGCTCCTGATCTTCCAAGCATGGCAATGATGCACACCCTCACAACGATCAACTCGATTGATTGGAAACCAGATGGGAACTCATTCATTACAGGTTCAAGTGATGGCATCTGAAGAATGTGGGATACTTCTGGAAGCGTCAACGCAGTTATGTTCAACGAAGATTCAATGGTTCTCAGCCAAAAAGCAGGAACCTCTTTCCCTAGAGAACAACCCAAGAAGGCACAGGTTTTGCCCAACGATGTTGACTCTATTTTCGATTGAAAATGGAATAAAGATGGAAGCGCACTAGTCTCAGTCAGTGAGAAAAATAATGTGATTCTTTGGAACCCAGAAGGCAAACTCAGAGCTTCATATCAAGGTCATACAGATTCTGTCACCACCATCGACTGGAAGAACAACAATATGTTTGCAACAGGATCCCAAGATGGAGTTATAAAAGTTTGGGATGTTCAAAGTTCAACAGCACAGAAAACTTTAAATTACCATGAAAGTGGAATCAAGTGATTGCAATGGGACCCAACAGGAGCATTTCTAGCATCTGGGTCAGAGGATTGTACCATTCAGATATGGAATAACAAGCACGACAAGATAGTTGTCTCCTTCAACGACCACAAGGAAATGATTCATAACCTCAAATGGAGCCCAACAGGATATGGCTCTAGCTTACCTAATGCAGAATTGAGGTTAGCTTCAGGATCAGCAGATGGAACTGTCAAGATATGGAGTCTAGCAGAAAATAAACTAGTTGATACCCTCACAGGTCACACAGGTATGGTAATGTGCTTAGATTTTGACCCTACCTATACTTACCTTACAAGCGGAGATGACTCAGGAAGGGTCATAATCTGGTCAGTGAAAGATGGAACCATCGTGAAAACTTTCGAAAGCCAGACAAAGAATTGAATATTTGATACCAAATGGAGCCATGACGGGCAAATGCTAGCAATATGTGATAAAGATGTATCAGTGATAGATATCCGATACATGTAGTCTGGAATTTAATTAATCAAAACTTTTTTCAAAAAATCGCAAAAATAAAGGGGTTTTGGGGTTTTGGGGTTTTGGGG